TATAACATATAAAGAAAGATTAATTTATAAAATACCAAAGTGTATGGCAAATATCACGGTTGAAGCTTCATCTTTTTCTTATTCTCTAACATTTTTATACCTAGTAGATCCGTCAAAAATTGTAGATTAATATTTTAAATGCCGAAAGAAGCCAGCTGCTTGTTCTAGTCTCTGACTCAGTTAAGCTCTTACAATATTTTGACTGTTTGAAGAAAATTAATAATGGAATGTTAGGCGGTAGATTAACTGAAACTAAATATCAACATAGCTAGATTTATTTTTGGATGACTGAGCTCATCTCTTCAAGGAACGGAAACAGGATTTATTATATCATGAGTTATTAACTTACACAACACCAAAACAGCTCTACCCCACCAACAGAGCAGAGAGAGCTGGCCACAATGTATTTAAAGATTACGTAAGAAGCTGAAAGGTTAGATTTCACATTAGCTAGGGCTACAGTTGATTACCTAAGGCTCACAAAGGCTACAGTTGATTACCTAAGGCTCACAAAGACGCCAGAAGTCAAGGAAGCAAGTGTCTTGACAGTTTTGGAATCAAACTAATACCACTGTCTTATTCCTTTTCCCCTGAGGAGCAGGTCCCCAGTGCAGCTGATATGGACAAACTGATATATATGGGAGAGAAAGATGATTTTATTTGTCATTTGTGTATTCACTCAGTAAACACTTACTGATCACCAATTTATCCTCCCTTCCCTCCTCTAGCCCATGGCCTATGCACACACTATCTGTGGGTCCATAAGCATGAAGAGGGTACACGCATGTGGTTCCAGGTCAAACACAGCGCCCAGGCCAGAAGGCGATCATCCTAAAGTTTCTGATGGGCTCTGATGCTTCCAGGCCAACAAGGACAGGCTGGTTTAGCTTTAGATGAGCCAAACACCCCAATCGCCTTAAAAAGTGCCAATTATAAGTATAGTCCTCATTTTAACTTCTCCTTCTATATTGCGAAGAAACTGCTGATGATAGACTGGGGCTCCCAATTACAGATCTTCGTACGTCTAAGGCACTCTGCTGCTTTTGGCAGTGATTGCCTCGTGAAGGAGGAAACCAAAACAAGATCACCAAACCTGCCCTTTGTTCATAGAATGCTCTGGAGTTCAATGACTTTATGTTGCTTTCCCACGCATGTGCACAAAAACTCCAAAAACCCCTCTGTACTCACATACCCAAACCAGAAGAGATCATTAACAACCACAAACTCTGTGGAACATGCGGAAGCCAGGCTATTTAACTGGAGCCGTTTCTGAGCCCCTGTGTACACTAGCATGCACATCATGACACTGCATTTCACAACTTGAGTGGCTCTTGGGAAAAAGCTGTCTGCTCCACTACTCCCAACACTCCTCCTGCTCCTCTAGACAGGGGCCTGCACTGACTCCATGGCTTGGACTAAAGCCTAAAAATTTATCCTGATGTATGTGCAAGAATGCTCACACCACCATTATTTAAAAAGCAAATTCGGAAACAACCCAAACGTGCATTGACAAGAGAAAGAATAAAGTGCGTATAGTCACAGAATGGACTGATTACACATCAGTGAAGATGATCATACTAACAGATATAACCACCAACATGGATATATCTCAGAAACAGTACACACAACATGATACTATTTTTATAAAGATCAAAATTCAACAAAACTAAATGATAGTTATTTAGGGCTACATGTCCATGTGGTAGTAAAGTGCATTTAAAAAAGGAAGAGAAGAAGATGGTTACCAGGATGGTGGGGAGTCTGGGTAGAGAGGCAGGGACCGGGGAGAAGCACATATTGGTTACGCTCTGCTTTCTACACTGAGTGGTGAGCTCACAGGTTTATCATTATGCTTTATCATTGACAAATACATTACCCAAATTCCTTTAAATATATCAAATTACACAATAAAATAATTTTAAGAAAACATTACCAGCCTAATGCCTGGTGGTCTAAATTGTACTCGCCACCATCATGAGCTATAAACAGAGACGGGCGGAGGAGAGCATCCCAGAGGCTTGGCAGCGGTGTTCCGGCTGCATGACCCGGGAGAAAAGCTACATGAGTTTTCTCACTTGTAAAATGGAAACAATTGGTGCTATCGGCCTGGAGGGCTATTGTGAGGATGGGAGGAGATGAGCACTGTGTAAGCCATGAGGCTCTGTCCAGTGACCTTTATTTTCTCATGCAGATTGCTGCTTTCTCAGCCCCACCTCTCTCATCTGCTGGGGAATGACCCCCCTCCACTCTTTGCAGTGCTGTGGGGCTGCCAAGGCATGACTCCCCACTCCTGCCACATGGGGAGGAACAACTTCAGGTTAGGCTGGCAGGAGTGTTTCTCCTGGGCTGTAGGTACACAGGCATGAGATGGAAGCCGCTGACCCCAAATCATTTGGTGCACAGGGTCCAAGAAGGACCACCGTCCTGCTCTTGACACTCCTGGAGCTACCCTAGTTTTTGTTGCTCCAGGCAGGTCGGCTCTCTCTTCATGTATGTGAGCATTATGATCATTAAAAAGCAAAAGAAAGACAAAAACTAACCCTTTTCTTGCTTAAGTTAATCAGCACAGGTTTCCGTTGATTGCACTTAAGGAAGCCTGGAGGACTCTGAAGGAAATGCCATTGTACTAAAAAGCAGAGGTGCAGCTCAGGCTTTGGCCAAGGCAGGTAAAGGGAGATGTCAGCAGAGAATGCTCAAGTGTGCCCCGCTTCAGCGGCCTAACTGATCTCTCCCCATCACTCTCACTCGCCTCCCAAAGCTTTCCAGAACACGCTGCGTTCCAGATCACTAACATGCTTTCCAAATGAATCTCCAGGGAACCACACTTGAACTCTTGCCTGCACCTCCTGCAGCGGGCCCTACTGCCTACAGTACAGGGCCCAGACCTCTTCTGAAGGCACAGGGACAGGCGACGAGCAAGGGCAGCGGTGGAGCTCTCGGGCCTGCTCCTCTCCCAGGTGAGAAGTCCCTTCGACCTCAGAGATGTGTGTGGCAGCGGCCAATGGCCTAGAGACCTGCAATTTAATAAAACACCATCTTTTCAAAGTAAAAGCCAAAGAAAGCAATTATGTTCAAAGTGTGCTTATCCACCTGGCAGTCTGATTCAACCTCAGATCACCCACTGCTACTCCTATAGATAGGCACCACCCTATGTGAATTCCGTGTCACCTCAGAAAGGTAACAATCAGCTGGCTAGATGCATAGTGATACGGATCAGCCACTCGTGGGGGTAAAAATGGTCTATGTAAGGGGCTGGCCCCGTGGCCGAGTGGTTAAGTTCGCGCGCTCCGCTGCAGGCAGCCCAGTGTTTCGTCGGTTCGAATCCTGGGCGCGGACATGGCACTGCTCATCAAACCACGCTGAGGCAGCGTCCCACATGCCACAACTAGAAGGACCCACGACGAAGAATATACAACTAGGTACTGGGGGTTTTGGGGAGAAAAAGGAAAAAAATAAAATCTTTAAAAAAAAAAAAAAAAAAAGTGGTCTATGTAAAAGGGGATTCTTCCCTTGAACTGAGTTCTCATCAGCCTATGAAAACAGAAGCTCCATGAGAGCAGATGAGGCTGACAGGTCATCGTGAAATAACAGCCAGCTTTCTGAGGTGGAAGTAACTCTAATATCTTAGGCCTGTTTACCTATAATCCTGTTCTCTCTGCTCATTCCCTTCAATGCCAAATTCCTACCTTCATCATGAAATGGAAGCTCAATGACCCAGAAATAATTTGAACAAACCTATTTCACTGAGGACGCTTTCATTTTTATCTTCGTTAACTCCCTGCTCCCTGTCAAGAATGCCGAAAGCAGGATTTACGTTTTAGCTGCTGGGTCTAGAGGATCTTAAACTTTAGACAATTTGTACGTTTAACTGTGGCAGGAAATACTGCATGCTTTGTAGACAGATACAAATTGTTCTTTTTTTCTATTAAAAGAACACTGCATTATCTCCTTCACTGTATTTTTTAATAGAAAGAATTTTAAAGAAAAGTAGCATGTTACGCAGATGAACTTCACTAATCTTTTCCTCACAAATGAGATATCACACTTAACAAGCCCACATCTTTCCCCTTTTTAAGGGAAAAACACACATGCATACACAATAAGCCCGTTCTTCTCCGGTGAGTGGCCTGAGTGAGGAGTAACTCATCCTGAGTGACTGGCTATTTATGATTTTACAAAGTAAAATGCTAAAATATGGGGAGTTCACACTAGGCCCCAAAGCAGCAGCAACAGACGAGACGTGACAAACACTCCCCCCTGCAGCTCACCTCCCTGCTGCATCCAGACCCACCTTCTCACCCACTTAAGCTGCTTTTCGTAAAACGTGGTGGCTCCTCAAAATTGGTGTTCAGGAAAGAATCCTTCAAGTGTACATTATCACACAGAGCATTAGAAAAGCTCATCATCACTGAAGTCTCTATGCCTTTCTAATTACTACTGTAATTTCTATTCCACTGTATTTCCCAAACACACCTGTCTTTGGTGAATTCATGCAAATACAAACATCAATGGTGAGGTTATGAAGTCAACTTGCTCAGAGCAAACCAAAATGAAACAACAAAATCGGAAGTAAGCAGCCATAAGGTTTCAGAACACTTTCCTCAAATACATAAGGGATTTTATAAATGATTTTCCACAGAACCTGCTTCTGTTTTAAGAGGGTGTTTTCTTTAGCAGGATCCATCAGTTGAGCATTACTATTGCCTCTGGGACAATATAAAACAGATGCACCAGAACATCACGGACTGACTTACAGGTGAAATGGCCTCACAGTGTGTTTCCTCCCTGGGTAACTGAGATAGGCTCTGTATTTCGTTCAAAAGCAAGGTTTCAACGTGTAGGATTTTTAACCTACAGAATGCCAGTAGAGAAGAGAAACATGCTAATCACCATCCAACTGGGATTTAATGTCCATTCTATAGATCCTACAACACAGAAACAGAGATGTAATCTTGAGGTCAATTTTCTTCCACAGGTCCCTATAGGTAGGTAGAACTTACCAGAAGCATTGCTGACGTTCCATTGGGTCTGGATAAGTGGATAGACATTTCAGGAAACATTCTGTCAATGCGGCTGATCACATCATCAACATATCTAAGTGGAAAAAAGAAACACAGATGTATGAACTGGAACCCTAGTCAAAGAAATGCAAATCTACAGTGTACTAAAGAATCTTCTTTTGAATTTTGTTTTTTTCAATGGAATACATTTTTAAGACAGCAAATGGGATTTACAAGGCTTTTTATGAAAAGTACTACTCCTTTGTTCCTCCTATTGCCCTTCAGAGCCAACCATTTTTTAGTGATTTCTTCTGGTATTTACTTCTGTATGTCTGCAAGATGTGTTTTTAATGCCAGTTCTAGCTTTTTCATTTTAAAGCATGACCTAGTGACTTTCTTCTATAGATCAGCATTTAGCTCTGTCATCTTCCTGGCTACTGGGCTCCAACTACAGAGGCTCCTCTTTCTGTCCCTCTGGTCCAGAGATGGTAGCAGCTTCCTGCTGTTGCTCAGCTCTGGTCACTTTGCTGTCCCCTGTTTGGTTTCTCATCTCAATCACCTGAATAACCAATTCCCTGGATTAAATTCCTTCTGTTTTAATACGTGAAATCATTTGTTTTCCTGGCTGGATTCTTAACTAATTCAAGTTATATCATAATTTTTGCTTAAATTGGTACTTGATGTGTTACATTCTAATATCTCTGCATCTATTTCTTAAGAGCTGAGCCATACAGTGAGTGGCTCATGAGTACATTTATTTACTTATAAAGCTTTCTGTTTTACCTTCATTTTCACTTGATTAGTTTTCTACGTACCTATTATAATTTTATCCCTAAACTCTCTACCTGACTCTAAAACTTCTCTCACTATAGTCAAAAGTAGACAATCTTTCCGTTCCATTTTTTTCTTGGAAACATCCCTCTGAAAGTGAGCCCTCTCTGTTCTTCCGTCCTAAATGGAATCTACATTTCTTAAGGTTTAGTAATCATTGAGATAACTGACATTAAGCACTCAGCATGCTGTCGGGCACATACTAAGGACTCCAAAATTATAAAGACTCTTATTGGTACATCATGGACCTATTCTGCAAAAATGCCCTCTCTTATGAGGATGAATTGCCCCCGTCCCTCGACGGTGGACACTTACTGTGAAGGCATCAACAGAGTTGGGTCTGGCTCAGATCCTTTGAGAATAAAATCACACCAGCATTTGTGCTCACCATCCAATCACTCTGGACACAAAGGGGATGTATAATACAAGAGTTGAGAGGCAAAACTGTCTATTAAGGGGTTTGCATTGGGTTTCATATCCGTTGGATATGACAAATTGAATTACATGTCCATTAGATCAGGGACATATAAAAGCTCTGTTCTCTTGGGGGAAGAGGGAGATTAGCTCTCCACTCACAGCACGAAAAGATTTTAGTTTGAGACCTGGCGCTCAGGAGAGACGGTAGACAACATGATGCCATTTGTTAAAAAGTGAACATCAACGTATCAGCTATGAAAGTCAGAAAGTAATCTTACTGATTAACCTATTGAGTTTTCCTTAGAGAATGCTATGTACAGTTTTAAATTTAGAGTTGAAAAGGAAGGGGAAGAGCTGTAGAAGGCCCAGTGGTAAATAACAATGACGGAAGAAGATCAGAGCACAGATGCACGAGAAGAGGTGGAGGGGCCTCGGAGGCTATTTGCTCCCGGGGAAAAGAGGGCTGAGGGGAGACTTTGATATTCTTCAAGCACGCAAGTGGCTTTACAAACTCAGTACCAAACAGCTATCTTCCATCTCTAGAAAGGACCAGAAGACAAGGATATGGCATGAAAAAAGCAACCAGCTCAGAAAGAACAAGAGGTATTTCTTAAAGGTAAGGCCCCATTCTGTTCATTTTTAAAATGGTTTAGAAAACAAGCTTTCCTGGATGGCTAAGAAACAGACTGACTAAGACACCACATCATCTCCCTCGCTCCCGATCTAGATTTACGGCTTCACAATATACAACCGTGGTTCTAAACTTGAATGCTACAAAAGAGGTGAAAAGATGAAGAAAGGAGGAAAGTAACACATTTTTCATCACTGTCTGATGTTTCTTGAAATGGTGAAAGACACACAGCAAACTTCATGTCAAAAGTGTACACCAGGTCACTGGAAACATTCTAGATCTATGCATGTGGTTGAAACCCAGTTACCCCAGACTCAGCAGGAAGCAAAAATCCGCTGTCCTGTGTGAATGGAGGTCATTGCTAAGTATATGCTAATGGGGGGAGGAGGGAGGCAATGTCTTCTGAACCCGTCCTCAATCAATAGCCATCATAGCTCTGGACAGCGGAATGCAAATGAATATGCAGAACTTCAGTACAAAGGTAACATCATAATTTGCTTCCCTTGTACCTTTCACCTTGAAGCTTTTCAAAATACTCTCTGGAAAACTTGTCTCTTTAGCAGGCTAGGAAAATAGGAGAATGGGTAGGTTAAGGGATGATTCCAGAAACCAACCTGAGTGTGTAGATTTCTAGGATTCTATGCCAATTGCCCAACTTTGCTTGCTTTTAGTAAGGGTCAGAGTTCTAAATGGGCAGACAACAAATGTTCCTTGCCATTTCTGGATTCCTTTATCTATGAGCTCTTTACTTGTAAAGGAAAGCAGTGGCAGGAGAAAAAGAGTTCCTAAGAAAAATACCTGCCATCGACATAGGACAAGTGGGAGGTCTGGGGAGGTAGTTTTCGTTTCCTCCCCAACCTGTGATCTCAGATAAAGCTCAGCAAACTCAATCCAAAGATTTTATTAAGCAAAAATGAATTTCAAGGAGACTGTTTTTCATTCACATGCCTAACATAAAGGAGATGCAAATTTCCTTTTTACAGGTGACATTATGTATTTGCCAAAAAGAGAAAGAGAGAGGCAGTTGCGTCTCTAACTGAGGAAAACAATGTCTAAATCCTGGAAGCAAAAATCAAAACACTTCATTTTCAAATAGAGGCAAACTTCAAATGCAAATTCCCCACTAGTGACTTGACAGAAATAAGGAAAGCTCGGAAATTCAAAAGGCGGAGACGAAATGCGACTTTCTTTTCGCCGAGGGTGGGGTCGGTATGGGGGTGGTCGCCGCCGCACCACCTCTTTGGCAGTACTTCCCAGGATGCTGCTTCAAGCCGGCGTGCCCCGCGGGCGTCTGCACAGAGCTCTGCAACATGTGGCGGCCCACTTTGCGTGCAGGGCTGAGGACAGGTAGGAACAGCGTGCTCTCCTCCCACACTTCCACCATATGCTACACTCTGCTCTGTGGCAGCATCAGATTACTTTAATTTTTACCTTTGGAACAGAGGCAAACAGGCAGTGACACAGCAGCAGTGACTGGTGTACACTTGCGCAGACGTGGTGCGGAAAGACATTAATTTAGTGCCAAATTGAGCAGTGAGTCACAATTTGCACATATCTGTCAACCTGTTAACAGGGTAATAACTTGGAAAGATTGCTGTTCCTATTTACATTACAGAGGCCTTTCGAAAACGGAGAGCTGCTTGGTTCTCCTCCTTGAAGAACTCAGCCAATGAGCTGGCTAGATGGTTCAAGAGCCAGGCTACAAAAACCAACTTTTAGAAATCACAAGTTCCCATCAAGGTGTGATTCATCACTTCAATATTTTCAGGCAGAAAATTAACTTTTAAGCAATTAGAGAATTCTATCCCCCTGCCCTGCTCCCCATTTACAGTCAGACTCTCAATGGTTTCTGATGCAGTTTTCCCATTGCAATCCAAGTGATTCTTCTCAAGGTCTCTGTAAGCTTCCTCAGGACTAAGCTTTAGTCTAAACTACTTCAACATCTCTGCTGCATCCGAAACAATCAGGCCATTCTCAGATTTCCAATGTTAATTTCTGAAGCCCTACAAGCCTTGCTCTCCTCTTCTGATTCTCTTCAAGTAGCTTGGCCTGTTTCTTTAAATGTCCTTAATCAGAGAACTAAACAACCGTGGGACCTCAGAGGTCCTCTCATCCAAGGTCCCTGCCAATCTAGGAATTTAACAGCATCTTCAAGAGAAGGTGTACATAAAAACCCTGGTAACATACATCACAAGGCAGCCTCTTGTACTGTTGGACCACCAGGCTGTTTCAAATCCACTTACCAGTATCTCCACCCAATTACCCCACTTCAGCCTTGGGGAATGACACACAAATATCTCCTCCAACACCTCCAAGGCCTTCTGCAAACACGTAAAAGACTATGGGGTTTTCCGATGTCTTTTATCAGCATTTTAAAATCTTTCTTGGGTCACAGATCCATTTGAGAATGTACTAAAGACTAAAATACATGTCTGCACAACATTTCACATACCATTTACTGCAGCTAGGAGGCCCTTTAAAGTCCATCCACAATTGGTTCTTGACCTTTTGGCTAAGATCAAGTGCAGTGTCTGTTCTGATCAGCTTAAAGTCCATTCACGAACCCCGAGTTCAGAATAACTGCTCTAGACCTGTTCTAGAAGTAAGGCATCTGGTTTTCTTCTTTGTTGCCTTCTGAACGGTAAATTGTATGTTTCAATAACGCTACTTTCATTTTAGAAATACATATATTTGTTACAGCCTAGAAGCGAACACGAGTGAAGTGGTACAGGGGGCACAATGCATCTAACGGTTCTAATCATCTTAAAATCACACTTCCACGCTGGAACCCAAGGATAATGTTTGTTTGTTTGTTTGTTTGTTTTTAAACAACTGTCTCTCGCTGCTAATTAATCTTTCCAACAAAGTCAAGGACCCACTTCCAAAGCCTTCGAGCTCATTGATAGTGAGCCACCATTTCTGTCCCCTAAAGCCACATCACCCATGCTTTCTTTACAGAAACTCCTTGCTTGTGGAAAGAGCTGCCTGCTTTCTCTACCACTGCTTAAGGCACAGCTCGGTGGAGAACTCAAGTCTCGAGCCCGAAGAGGGCCCCGGAGGCCCACAGTCCAGCTGCTGCTCCTGCCCCAGCCTTGCCCGGCTGCCTCCTTCCACTCCCCGGGCAGGCTTGCCCCGCCCTGCACACTGTGCACATTCTGCCTTCTCTGCCTGGAGGGTTCTTCTCACAACTACTTCTACCCCCACGTCCCGGCAGTCCCGCTTACCCTTCAAGTCTTTGGGTTTCAGCTTAAATGACACTTCCTCAGGGAAGCCTTCCCTGACGCTCCCCTCAGCCCCCATCAGTCAGCGCACCTCATCCTACCTCTTGTGGCACTTTTTATTTCTCTTTGTGTCTCCTGTCCCAGTTGTAATTAAGCAGTTTTTCGAGTGGTTATTTGCTTAATGTCTCTCTCTCCAAAAGGACTCTCTGCAGGATGACATGACTGCCTTCTTCAGCGCTGAATCCCAGCACCCTGCCATGGGCCTGGTAACCACGAGACACTCCTTAAATATTTGCTGAATGAGTAGACAGGACATTAAAAGTAAGCCATGGAGACCCAAGTTGGGCAGTTATGAAACAACTAAAACGCAAAGTTCTCTTCAGCAGATGAAGATTTGAGGTGCTGGAGAGTTCATTACCTTAGCCATCAAAAGTCACGAACAAGAGCAGCCAGAGAGCTCGGCAGAGCAAACCTCAAAGACCACAGCAGAGATTCTTCAAAGCCTTCCAGCTTAATATGCAGCCACACGATCCCGGCATCTGTTTCAGGAAAGGCTCAGTGCCTCTTAGACGCAAGAGCCTTCTACAGACGTGCACTGCGTTATTGACATGCCAGTTTTAAAATGTTGCTTTTAATGAACTAATTAATTCTGCGAAAACATTAGTACAAAGACGTGCACTACCAAATTGGGATTACAATACCAAAATGATAGCAAAACAGAATGTGGAAGGCATTTCTAAAGATATCAGTTTTTCAAAACATTAATTTTCTACTCTACACATTAAAATACGTTGCAAACTATTTGTTATTAAAGCCTTAAAATAATTTGCTGGACAGATGGCTTAGTTCTCTAAAATCTGACCCCTCCTCAAAAGAAATAAACCCCAACAAACCTGGACTCCAGCCAGTGATCCTGTGTTAGTGAGATGTTTAGCAGCTCAAACCAGATTTAAATAGCATTTACTCCACACAGTGTGTACCATACATGCTGTTCATTATCTCCATCCACTACAAAACTGAAAGTTAGGAATGCATATATTAATAAACCACATTTTGGGGGAAAGGGTAATGCCCAGTAGATATCAAAAAGGGAACATTTGGACGACTTGAAAATGATTGAAGATTTTCCTCCACACCTGTCCAGAATGATGAGACCAAGAGGACTTTGCCAGTGGGTGGAAACAGAAGGGGGTTTGTCTAATTACTTCATGAGAATGAGATTGCCTGAAACTACAACCATCAATCTCAATATACTGAAGAAATAAGACTGGAAACTTGCGCCTAACTTGCTCACTTCTTCCACTTAGGTCAAGCTTCTCAGATTTATAAAATATCTACATCATGTCTGTGATTTGTGGTTATTCTATCAAGAAAATTAAAAGTATTTTCTAAACTGTACATCAAAAAGCATGACTAGATGTATGACAGACAGAAACAAGAGCACTGGCTTAGATTTCTACACCATTTCTCACCACACTCCCTTACTGTCCCTGCCCAGCTAGCTACCTACATACTGTGTTATTCTCTTCCAAGGAGAGACACTCAAAAACTTAAATCTCTTTACGGAAACTCAGCCTCAGCAGACAGGCCTGTCCGGATTAGGAACACTTGCTTCCTGGGAGGGAAACTGTGGCCAGGCCACGGAAGTGGAAGGGGAGCTTTCCCCTGTTCACTCCTTAGGAGCTTATAAATTTTGAACTATGTGAACACGTTACCTGAACAAATTTAGGAGAACCACCTGAGCAAGCAAACAAAAGCCACTCTACATTTCCTAATGTTGAAATAAATGCACCAAGACCCATCACATACTGACATATATAAAGAAACCTGCCTGCCTGCCTTCTTGTTGAGTGTCAAACAGCCCAGTCAAGTTCACAGGCATGTACGAACCAGGACACATGGTAAATACCATCATAAAAACAGAATTCCTCCTACACATGATTTAGCATGAGTTAGAGAGGTAAAGAGTTTAGCTTGTCAACTATCCCTACTATATCTACTAATAAATATTTATAAGGTGCCTACAGTCCTCAGCAAAGAATTACTGTGTTCAGGGAATATTAAATACTAAGGATAGAAAACAGTTGAATTAGCTGGCCCACAGGAAGCTTTTCTGCAAGAAGCGGACAGCGGGAGGGATGGGTCTAGCCCATGCTTTCTGCTGAAGGAGAATCAGATCGAGCAGGAAAGGAGGCATTGTTTTACAGTTTTCAAAGCACTTTTGCATCTTTTATCTCATGTGATCGCTCACCAGCTTTGGGAAGTAAGAAGGGCAAGTGTCAAACTCCCGATTCATAAATCACAGAAGAAAGGCTAAGTGACTTGTCCAGGGTAACAGCATGGCCGAGCGGTGGGTGGAGCTGAGCCCGGAATGTCCGTCTGACCCCCGTCCCAGGGCCTTCCCCATCCCAGGGCTTTCTGGCATACCACAGTGCTTGTATTAGCTCCGCGAGGATTCCACAGGAAAAGCACATTTACTTTCTGTCATTCCCCAGATTATTTATAAAACAATTGAGACATTTTTTAGTAGTGTATTAACCAAAGTGAGATCAATTTATGATTTTCTCTCTTCCCAGTCATTCAGTAAATATCCATTCAGTGCCTAAGTGAGCCCAGGGACACAGGATGATCAAGGTGGACTCCACCCTCAGAGGTTTACACTTCATTCGCTTACAAGCCATTTCCCTTCAAGGCCACAGGCTTACCTCCAGAAAAACAGGAAAACTAAGTTAAATTTCCTTCCATTCCCTGTTGGGTTTTTGATTTTGCATCTCTCAATTAATGTGCAAATTTGGTAGGTAACAGGAAGGGGCAAAATAGTGAATACTTGTTTTGCATTTTATTTTCTATTAATAACTAAAAGGTAGATGTTTTTCTAAATTTCTGTCCTTCTTGCATTAAAAATTTATTCAGACATCTGTGGGTCCCAATTTTCCTTAAAATATTTAAACAATGTATTAAGCTGGGGAAAGAATTCCAATATCACTCAACATCTACCTCCTCTGCAAGTCTTTAGACGTTACAGACCAAAAAAACACTCAAACAAGAAAAACACCCACATCAAGCTTTCCAGCAACACCAACGAACAAGAGTCATTAATCCACCTCTGCCAGATCTGGTGAAACGACGCTTGGAACTCACATGCATGCGGATGAATGTGCGAAAAGTTCACACCCCAGGGCTTCTGACTTTCAACCAGCCAACGCACACTGCAAAAGTTACACCCCTCCCTGAAGTCCCACAGCTTCCCTTCCCAGCCCGGTCACAGTTGAGGACCGGTTCCTAAGTGCACACTGGCCCGTTCAGATGTGGCACTTCTTGGCAATGCTTTAATGTGGTGACCTGTTCCAGTAATTCAGAGTTTGCTGCACACGTGCACAAGATTTTGTTCATATTTGATGTTTTAATGTCCTGGGAACATATATGGTAGATTTCACAAAAAGAAATGCCAAAGAGAATGCTAACAATCATTGAACACATAACTTGTTCCACTCATAACAATACATTAAGCAAATGCATACCAATAGCCAGAAATGGTAAACACATTTCAGGAAACCATAAAATTTTTTTCCCTTTCTAGGACAAATATGTTATATATGACAGCACTTTCAAGTTTCATTTTCACTCATCAGACAATCACTCCTTGAGAGAGTCTGAGGCCTACCCACCTCTAGTCCCTGCAATGATTTTGCACATAATACGCACTCAATAAACATTCGGTGACCTGGACTGATTTAAGCAGACTGGATCAAGGCTGAATAAAGAAGACAGAGTAAACAGAACCTTGTTTTGTAATTGTTTCTTTTACAAAAAGTAAAAAATTCTAAACCAGAAAATGTCATCCAACATCCAACAACACAGTGAGGCTGTTTCTTTCGCCTCCCCTTTCTAATGGCAGCTGGGTTACAAGGCAGACTTGAGATAATGACAAATGGAAAGTAATGAGAACAAAACCAGACATTCCTGGGTGGGGTCTCTGGCTTGGAGCTTCAGGGGGCTTTCGCACCTATGGTTCCCACCTGGAGTGCTCACTGCGTGACTCTTCACTCCTGATCTAACGCCCCACACATCTCTGCCGAACCAAACCTTCAGTAGAAAAGTCTTCTCCATGGCCCCAAGATGGCCCAGTGCTATCACTCACGGCATCCTTCATTTGTCCTTCAGAGTACAGATCACAATCCAGCCCACACATCTGGGTGACTGACTGTTGAACGCCCACCTTTCCCACCAGACTGAAAACTCCATGAAGGAAGGGCACAGTCCATCCTGCTCCCCGCCGCCAGCGCCTAGACACTGTCCGACACACAGCGGGCTCTCAATGGATACCTGATAAATGAATCTTCCTTGTGGATGCCTTGAAAGTGTCTGCAGCACAACAGAGCCTGAGGCTGGGGCTCAGGATCCCAGGGACCTGGATGCTCCCATTCTCACTCTGCCCTCAACTTGGACAGTTCCCTTAACCTCTCAAA